GTTTAATATTTATTAAAGTCATTGATGAAATGAAAAATACAAAACGACGTGGGATAAAAAACAAAGAGAAACAATAACCAGTCAGATCCTCGTTAATGAAGGACTTGTTAACAAACACAAATTAATGATATGTAACAGAACAGACAATAACGATACACAGACTAATTAAAACCAACAATTCAACAGGGAGAGGCAATGTCTTTACTTACTATTATTTCACACGATAATCTATGTAACTATTTAATTTATTTGACTTTACTAAACATAAATTGAGAGCCGTGATAGCTCAGTGTCCGGGCGCTCGCCTTTATTTCAATATATACTCTAGCAACCTGAGTTCGATCCCCGGTGCCGGCACCAATGAAGTTTTTAACTTTAAGTGCTGACTTATCACGTGCTCCGCGGTGAAGGAAAACATCGTGAGGAAACCTGCATATTTTCGAAATAATAAAAAAAAATATTTTTCGAAGATATGTGTAGTCCGCCAATCCGCAGTGGGGCCGCGTGGTGGACTATGCCCTGATACCCTCTGTATAGAGGAGGCCTTTGCCCAGCAGTGGGACATGTATAGGCTGTTACTTTACTTTACTTTTAAACATGAATTGAAACTTTTTTTACAAATAAAAATAAACGAAGCATATGTATTATTAATGTTGATGATTTTGGCGTTAATATTGTTTGAATATGGTGATGATGATGATGATTCATGATCACCATAAAACCAGGTCATTATTCATAATATTATTCATTCCAACTTAATTCCACATACTTCAACAACTAAATATTCTTGATAAACACAATTAATACAAATTATTAATAAGTATCATTTTATAATCAAGTAATAAAAGGTAAAAGAATTTAGATTAGTAAATAGAAGGTATAAATTATTAATGTAGGGACGTTTCTTAAGAATTCCGAATTCAAGTATCACCGCAGCATATCTGTTAATACCGCTCATGATCCGGGCATTATTGAAAATGCACATTTGATCTCCCCACAACAGTCTGGCTACGTTGCAGACCCGACTCTCACCCAACATTTGATTCTTTTATACCTTTATGTTGCCCAGATTAAAGATACAGATGCGATCAGGCCGAAGAAAGAGCGGGGGAAAAAAACCGATTGATTTCAGTATTTTGTTGGCACGTAGTCTTAGTATTAATCTAAGGCTGTATTGTTAGTTCTTTTCAATCTAGATTGTTCAATATCGCTGTTATAGAAAACGAGTTTTTACTCGTGATTACATTTACGCAATACCACGTTCTTTGTTAAGGGATAATATAAAATCCATTAATGTACGATGATGTTTATTAGGAACGACAGATGAATATGTACATAAGAACAAAAATTTAAGTTTCTATTTGGCTTGTGGTGGAATGTTCTACTCCTAAACTAAGAAATATTTTTAAAATCAGGTAATATAAAATGTTGTCTACTACTCATCTTATATTTATTTAGATAAATTTTAAGGATTTGTAAACGTTACGAGAAAAATTAGAACAATTTTTCTTAGTAAATAAAATAGTCAATAGAATGTAGAAATTTTAAAATGTTTAATTGGTAGCTTATTTGTGTATATTATTATAGAAATATTATATTTCTAAAAATATTTCAAAGAAATTGGAAGAAATGTATAAATTGTAATTTGCCTACAGAGACATCTGTATTTAATAGAAGTAACCAAACAAAATTATCTACAAACAATCAAAAAGTGTAATTTTATATAATTCCATAATACGAACAGCCAATATTTTAACAAGTAAAATAAATATTATTTTATGCAAATTTTAAAATAAACTAAAAATTAAAATTTAATAATGTGACAGTTCCGCTACTCGGCACTAGATAGCACTGTTAGTTGTTCAACTGATTTATTCATAAGAACATCCGTATTAATCATAAAAACAAAAAAAAAATTATTAAATTTTCTATTATACAATATTTATAAAGTGTTATTTTTGTATTACCTGCATTATTGTGTATGTACTGTATGTATTGTATACATAGCATTGTACATTAAAAATGCTTTTACATTAAAGATCACAGGTAGCGCTATTAAGGTTGAAATTAAAATTGGGAGGAGGAAATAAAGGTGTTTTTTCTTAATTTCATAATTATAGTAATTTTAAATAAAAACTCAAACACGCTTTCTTAGAAATGTTTGTATATTGTTAATTATATTAATTAAGTGCTTCTCTGAAATCTCAACCGACGAAAATTTCTCTGATGGTATGTTTGGCCACTCTATATTGTGGTGACAATGTAAAAAAGTAATCGGCAGTAGCATAATAAGCCAAGTTGTCTGTCAGTTCTCATTGACGAAACTTGCTTATTTTATTGCTTTTCTTCTGAAATGCATATGATTCGTGTATATCAATATACATTAGGTAAATATGACAAAATTTTGAAAATTTTGAAAATTGACCAGTTTATTTGCAAAATTCCCAACTCGTAATGTAAATGTAATAATAAGTCTGTAACTTTACGAAAATTCGTTTAGTTTGATGAATTGATGTCGGTTCTCATTTCGTTGCATCTAGACGTTTTGTGGCTACGCTCTCGTATTTTACAAAATAATGAATAATGGCTGGTCTGCTTGAGAGTTTTAATTCTAATTTAGTCAAAATTATGAATGCTACAAACCGCTTGCTCGCTTGGTAACTTTTCGCATAGAAAATACAAAAAGATTGACTAATTGATATGTTGATCGAAGTCCGCCGTTGTATATGTTTTGTTTTATTCTTTTTATATGTGAGAAGGTGGCAAGCGAGCTGGTGGTTCACCTGATGTTAAGTGATAACCGCTGCCGATTGACATAATTATGAAACACCCATTTATTGTAAAATATGTAGCATTGTAATTCGTTTTCTCTAACGTCAGTGTCCAACAAAACATGTTTTTCTAAGTAGTAACTACACAAAAAAATGCATTCTATTCTACTGGCCCAGTCATGATATTTATCACATCTACATTATGAGTAGGGAATTGTGCAAACTAACCGGCATATCATATTTATCAAATGTTGTGGTGATTATGTATAGTCACCAGTTATTATAAATACGCATCAGTTTATTATCTTTACGGTAACGTTTATTTATTTATATGTTTAATGTACAAAAAACACAAGGTACAAAAAATAATGAAAATGTATTGTAATATGTAAATGTAAAAAAATAATTTACAAAAGGTAAGCTTAACTCAATGCATGAGTTCTCTGCCAGCTAACCTGGCGAGAAAATAGGTGATTGAAGGTAGCTGGAAATGTGTTCAGTGCACCCAGATATTCATATAACATAACCTACATAAATATATACATTAATATATACATATATTATGATTAAAGAAGTAATTGGTAGATCTCTAAGGGACATACAAACCTTGTAAACCACTGTTGTTGAAATCTTGTTATTTTCTAACCTACATCTTAAATTATATGGATACTACTAATAAAGGGGATCTTTATAAATACAACCGTATACAACATAAGTGGGGCGAATACGGTATGAGAAATTTGCAGTAAAATAAACCATTTTCGAAGTAAAGAACTAATGGTAAGAAGGTAACGAACTCGTACATTGTGAGAAATACAGTTGAGGTAAATTACGTTATGAAATACATGTGATGGTTATCACTTAACATCAGGTAAACCCAGTTCGCTTACGATCTTATTACAAAATAATCTAAATCGCGAAGTTAGCATACAAGCAGACCATCAAGTACATCGAGTTCATTTTTAACCGGAATTAGATTAGATGTCCATTGTATGTACATTTATTCCGCCTAAAAATTCCTCCTATTTTTAAAAGTCAAGAGCTTCTGCTAAGTTGTTATAGCTGGTTATTAAATCACTTGTTATTGAAAAATATTTCGCGCGTGGTAAAAACACATAAGGGGCTTTGTGTATGTAAAAATTCGAGAAACGAAGCCATTACTGCTCAGGCTCGGATCATCGACAACGACATCCCTAAAATAAATATTATACATTTGCAAGTATGATCTTAAGGTACAATATGTATATTTCTTTTCAAATGTATATTTATAGAAGTCTTCAGAGTTTTTGTAACGAACGTCTTAGATGTACAATATTTATGTAAGTTCAAATTATATTCACTATATCCATATATTGAATATAATAATATATCATAGATCTAGATCCTTCACGGCATAAGTTCTAGACTAGAGGGATACGAAGGCTCCTGGTGGACTCTAACCTAGTTAAAGAATTTAACTACCCTCGATTTTAGGCGATTCTAATCTCTTATTTATTTCCCGGGAGTATTTCGAGGCATGAGCGTTTTGCGTCATCGTCGATTTGGCGTATAGATCTTCTTTCTTTTTCCTTCTCACTTAATCGCAACAAGGTGGGGCTGGGACGCGATGCGAATCATGCTCTTAATGGTATAAAAATAACATAATAATTCAATAAATATTTTTAACCTAAATTCAACATCATACAGTTTATTGATCTACATGGTGCCAAGAACGCTAGCTGCATTTCCTCGCTGAATAGTTATGCTTAACCTTTGAGCGAGAAAAGAACCAGCTCTCTTGTCACCAGGCGCGGCGTTAAGCCTAGGACATAAAATTATATATAACTTAATGGTATTAGTTAATTTTTAAGGCTCCTTGGGATTACGCATCCACACTCGGAACAATTATCAGTGGCTCAAACAAATACTGACTAACGCGAACCCACGAAGCCTTTACAAATTCGCCATTGACTCGGCGCGTGTGATACTCTATAATAAATATTGTGGTATGTCATAATAATCGCATGGTAATGCTAATGAAGAATTCGCTTGACACTAAGGGAATACAACGAAATTTTATTCTCGCACACTTTTACTGACGACGTTTTCCTTCACCGCTGAGCACGTGATAATTCGGTACTTGAAATAAACAATTTCATTGGGGATCGAACTCAGGTTGCTCGAGTACATTGAATTAAAGGCGAGCGCCCGGACACTGAGCTATCACCGCTCTTAATTGGGATACACTCAGTTATTAGAGCCGCCACTCCCGTCGGCGTTTTTAAATGGAACGACGCTTTTTACGGTCACCAAGGGTGCTGATTTGCCACGTACGGCATGCGGACACACGCTCGTGTGGGGCTGCGTCGACCCACATGCTAGCCGGCTCACATCGGAGCGTAGTTGCGGATGAGCCGAATGAAGGGAGCTTTCAAAAGAAGCCGCATTCAGCTTGGCTACTCCACCTGATAGTAAATAGCAAAGCATCTGCTATGTTTTCAAAATGCTCTGCATGATAAATTCCATAGCTCAGTGACATATGTTCACTCTCATGCCTTAACATATCCACATTGTTCAGTAAAACTTGTTCAGTCTTGCCTAAAACACCCACGTAGCTCAAGTAAAACTTATTCAGTATTGTCTTGTATTGTAAACGTGTGTACGTTATATTCGGATGGAACGACAGCGTCGGTCGACCATTCCATTATTCTACCGTACGCATTATGAACGATAGAGGAAAGCGCATGATCCGAATATATTTTAACCGACTTCAAAAAAGGAGGAGGTTTCTCAACTCGAACGTATATATTTTTATTTTTTTTTATGTGTGTTCGTGGATAACTTCGTCGTTTATGAACCGATTTTGATAATTCTTTTTTTTGTCGGAAAGGAGATATAAGGAAACCCGGATCTGATGATGGCATCCCAGAGAAATCGAGGGCCATCATTGAATGTTATAGGTATTAACAATGTTTTTAATTTTCTGATTGAAGTCGGTGTTTGTTTGTTAAGAATTATATATATTAGAGCGTACAACACATGGATATACAGGAGATCAAAGGTCGAATTCGATGGCGGTGTCTAGCACTTTCTGGGTCTCTCTAGGCTTTGAATGCAGTAATTGGGATTGCCACAAGTTGGCGTTCGAAGCAATGATTAAAGTACGTGCCTCGTGGGTGATGGACCATGCAACTAGGGCTAAAAGGGTCTGCGGGCCTGGATTAACACTGTCTATATCTGGGTGTGTTAGTTAAGATAGGCAAACGTTATAGAGGCCGATTAAAGGTTTAACAAACGGGCATATAAAACAGCTTAAAGGTATCTTCTGCTTGGCTTAAAAGGCCATTAAAAGGATTCGGGTGCACGGGTGGCAAATTCAAAATCTATATCTTTCTAATTACTTCATCTAAAACTACACTCGCTTATTGTTTGTTAAAATACTAATTCCCTCTTGGAAAAGATAAGCCTGCACTGAGTAGAGTCGGCGAAAGAAACTCAGCGGCCCTCTTTATTTATATTGGCGCTGGTTTTAACAGTGAAGTCATTCCAAGGAGGAGGGAAAAGGACGTGGCCTCAGGCTCTCCATCCCTCGAGGGGTTAGGCTGTGCGGAGTAGCAAAACAAAAGTTGTAAACAGCCTGGATCTAGCCCATGGCCCTAAAGCCATACGGTTCGTGGCCGTTTTAGACTTTCTCCGACTGGTCAATAGCATTTCTTAGAAGATGACAAGTAAGCTGGCGGTTACCCTGATGTGATGACCGCCGCCCATAAGCATTTGCAACTCCCTTACGTTACAAAAGCGTTGCCACCTTTTAATGAAGTAGCTACGTTTCGTCTGCTGAGCAAGGTCAGCAAACGAAACGTAGGAGTATAAATACTTACACTTCACGCCGCTCTTCTGTGAGGTCATGGTACTTCTCCGGACGGACCTGACCGTGCATCAGCGTAGACTACTGCTAAGCCCTACCGCAGCATATTAGCAAGCTTTGCGGCACCGTTTCATGTCGGTATGGACTGCAGCCGAAGACCAGTGCTTCTGCTCCGCCGTCACGTCGCATTAGTTTATTTGACTAATTAATGGAGTAAATAAATATCACTTCAAGCGACACGGGGAAACTTTTTCCATCTTGAACAGGCTGGAGTCATTTAGCGGCGAGTCGCATCGAGTTTTCCATCTCGGTTTGACGCGGCGTCGTATTGCGTCAAACCGTGGAAGGTGAATTGAACGTTCACGACATTCCTCATAATCAATTTTAATAAACAATTATAATCCGCCTTATAATCAATTTTACGTTATAAACCATAAAGATTTTTTATATTTCCGCGAATATTCCATATGAAGCAACTCGGTCTATCCGTGAACGTACTCGTTGAAGAAGTATTAGAATAGAATATATCATTTTAAACATTACTTTAAAATAACATATTGAAGTTTCATCCCCTTTTATCACTCTCACTTGGCATAAGTGTAAATTTAAGGATTTTGCATAATAGTAATTTTTTAATTAAGTCTTGAATAGTAAATGTACTATTGTTGGCAACACTATTGAGGTTGTTGACAACACTAAAAGAAATGTCATTCTATGGGGTATAAATGGAGCTGCACGAAGCATTTCATGGATCTTCGTCTTTCTCTGGCTGTCAACAAGAAGTATACGCGATAGTGCTGCCAAATCGGTATCACAAATTAAATCTTTAGAATGGTGTTTCATTAGTGATATTAAAGTGATAAATTAAGTAATTATACCAGTGTTATTTCAGTGCAAAGTGAAACTAAGGTGGTTTGGTAAAAATATTTTTATTTCTACCTTCTTAGCTCGGTAAAACAAAGTAAAGCTAACACTATTATTACAGTAGAATAAAGGTAAGTAACATAGCCCAAAGGCTTAGTAAGCTGAGGTGGCAATGGGACGGCCATATAGCACGGGTAACTGATGGGGAAGAAAGGTTCTCGAGTGGCAGCCTTGTATGTACCATCGTAGTGTAGGACGACCCCGCAATTGATGGCAAGTGTGCGGGAACTCGATGCCTGCAGGTTACTCAGAATCGTGCTTAGTAGTGATCTTCAGCAGCAGTTGACTCAAACAGGCTGAAATGATGACGATGATGACCATCATTTCTTATTTAATGATCCGTGGTATGCTCTCGATTGGACGGAGGTAAACACCTCCAGGCATCCGGGCTGACTCACTATTTACACTTTACTCGGTAGTTAACCGTTGGTTAAACGAGCGTTAGGTCGCACGGTGGAGCCGGCGCGGCTCAGGTGTTTCGTTAATGCCGTTTGAGTGACTAGTCCTTTCGGAATGACCGCGAGACGCCGGGAGGCGGGGGCCGCGTGAAATATTGAATATATTAAAATGGTGGTGTACAAAGTGGAGCAGGGAAGTGCCGGGGAATCGAACTGGTTTCCTTAGCGTTTCATAGCAATGGCCCTTCTTTATTCTACCTGTTCGTAAACTTTGGTAGCTGAAAGTCATCTCTCTGAGATTGATACCTTTTCACGGACTACGCGTTGCCGGGATGTCTGTTTGAGATAACCCACGTATTGAAGTGAATTATGAATAAAAGAGAAATAATTTTCGGTTAACATCTAATATTCTAACAAGTTCCGTTAACATCTAGAAATTCAATCAGTTATTGGCCAACAAAAATAATAACAACTATCCCTTGTCTAAGCAAAACGATGTTTGTAGTTCATAGCAACAAGCTTACTATATGATATATTTAAAATATTATGTCTCTGCGTAATACAAACAGTGTTGGTCAAGACGACACAAACAAAAATTGTGAAATCTGAGGGAAAATGTACACATCTAAGTTACACAACTAATCTAAATATCCTTCAAGGTGTTTACCCAGATAAACTAAAAACTGCTATAATTAAGCCATTACTTAAAAAGGAAAATAACGAAAATCAATTTAACGAGCCATTGCACGCACTTACATGTACTTTTTCCAAAATTTTTGAAAAAATATTTTTATAAAGAACTTTATTCCTTTTTTGAAAAAGTACAAAATATTCTAGCACGTGCACAAAAGGATTACGAAAACATAAAATAATAAACATAGCTATATATGTAATATATATTATAACTATATATCCTTTAAACGAGTATATATATAATCTATATATATATATATATATAGTATATATATTATCAAAATCTCGGAAACGGCTCCAGCGATTTTCATGAAATTTAATGTGCGTAGATTAGGGGTCGAAAAATCGATCTAGCTAGGTTTCATTTTTAGAAAATGTCCTTTTATCCCTGTTTTCAGAGAATGAAAAATATCATTCGAATATGACGGTAAATTTCGCCGCAAAAAAAAATGTTATGATAGCTCGGTCGGTAATCGGGCGGCGGCCCTAAAACAGATGGCCGTGGTTCGTATCACGATCATTTACACTTTTTTTTACTTTTTTTTTATTTATTTATTTATTTATGCTTTATTGCAAAACCTTAAAAAAGGATTACAAAGGGCGGACTTAATTTTTTTCTAGTCAACCCGGGGCGTGGAGAGAGATCGTGGTAGGTGCAATGTAAAAAGAACATAAACAATAATTAATTATTTTTTTATTTACTTTGTCTTTAAATGCCTTAATATATATATCTACTCTATAATAAATAAATATGAACATATATAGCATATATATTTGATATATACATACACACACACACACACACACACACACACACGGGCGCGTATAAAAATTAACGACAACATTCACTTCACTAGTTTTTTCTATACCAGATCATTGCTTTCTTTATTTTTTATTTTTTGTCGATCCAGATGATTTTGTTATTCTTTTCCCTTTTTTTTAAGTTCTTTCTTTTGTGATTTTGTTTGTTCATATTTTCTTATTATTACGTCGGAATGATCGAAAAATATTATGCATATTTCATTACTGAGTAATTTGTATTCAAATGTAATTTCCAAAATACACGATTACAAAAAAAACCTCCAGGTACTGATCTTTTAAATGAGATTATGACAAATACAGACCTTAAAAGACCAGTGTGTGCTATATATTGTGAAAGGACGCAAGCCCTTGTTATAAGTTAAGTAAGTTGTAAGATCGAGTGTCAATTGAATAAATATGTGGAGTGATATTATGTGTGGTGTAATTTGAAAACATCTACGAGTACATCGATTGATCCGTTACACTTTGGATTTTGGAAGCTCTTCAGCCCCTAACCACCACCACCATCTACTAGGTACCACCACCACCATCTACTAGGTACCACCACCTTCCGAAAAACGGTGGTAGGGCCAACCAACGCAACGGCTCTCGCTGTTGCACCAATGGGCAGGTCCGTCCGGGTGAGCACCACGACCTCACAGCAGACCGGCGTAAAGTGGAAGTGGTATACTGATGCGTTTCGTCTGATGATTAGCTGGAGCTGACTTCATTAAAATGTGGCAACGTAACTGCCACCCCACGGGTGTTGCAGACACGTTGCCACAGTTACGGGCGGCGGTTATTACTTAACATCAGAGATGACATTCGCGGCGTAAGCACATCGGTGTCGGCTAGTGCGTCTGGGCGAATTACCTAGGACACTCACATCACTGTGTTAAATAAAGTTGGTGGTATTGGTAGTATGTACCTACCAAAATCACCAGTAATACACAACCAAAAATGTAATTTATCACATAGCATAAGATTTAGTTTAGTACTTGGTGAGAAATAAGAAATTAATATTGAATTATTATAAGGATAAGTCAAATTTCTCTGACAAAATATCGCTTATGTTTTAGTTAAGAAATTATATTTTTAATTTCTCCGTAGCACACCGTATCTACAATTTTTACATTTTTTATGCGAAAAGTTGTCAAACGAGCAGACGGTTCAACTGATGTTAAGTGAATACCGCCACCCATGGACATCTGCCACACCCGAGGGTTACAGATGCGTTGACAACCTTTTGAAAATTGGGCTTCGGCTACCTCACTCACCAGACGAAACGGGAAAGTATTTGTCATACTTCCACTTTACGCTGGTCTTCTGTGAGGTCGTGATACTTACCCGGACGGGCCTGCCTATTCGTGCAACAGCTGCCTGCTGCGTGGCCCTACCACCTTATACATATTTATGATACATCTGAAGATATACATAATCATTAATAAATACAATCGTTTGGTATTTCCGTAAAACTAGTTTATAATTCTGCAGGGAACTTTTAAAAAACGTATACCCGTCAATTTAATTCTCACCGCACAAATGAAAAACTGGTATAGCTGAATGCAATTCTGAGGCGGTTTTGACACTTTTACTAATGAATTTCCATTTTCGAACACAGAATCAAATCTGTATGGAGTTATTTTATAGACAAAGATATCGTTTTTTTTTTCAGCGTCAGTTTTCCCGCGCTTTTGCCACGTTTGCTGATGAATTTCCATTTTAGAACACGATCCCATTCACGGGGTGTGATTGTCTAGACTAAGATGCCATTCTTTGCAGCGTCCGTTCCGTACCCAAAGGGTAAAAACGGGACCCTGTTACTAAGCCGCTGTCTGTCTGTCTCTCTGTCCGTCACCAGGCTGTATCTCATGAACCGTAATAGGTAGACAGTTGAAATTTTCAAATAAGAAAAAACATAATAAAAAATATATAGTGGGGCTCCCATAAAACAGAATTGATTTTATGCCGTTTTTATACATAATTGTAATAGGTTTAAACTGCGATCACACAAGTGTTCGCTGTTGCACGAATGGGCAGGTTCGTCCAGGTTAGTACCATGACCTCACTCACAGAAGACCGGCGTAAAGTTGAAGTGTTACACTTCGGCGTTTCGTCTGGTGAGTGAGGTAGCCGGGGCCCACTTTATTAAAAGGTGGCAACGCATCTGCAACCCTACGGGTGAACAAAATACAAACACAATAGTACGGAACCGTTCATGCACGAGTCCGACTCGCATTTAGCCGATTTTTTACATCTTGTAGTTGACAAACTGATAATTGGTTCAATTGAACAATGCTATTAAAGTATCGGGCGTTACACGTATGGAAATCTATTTAACAAAACCCATTCTCTCGAATTACAATACTGTAA